CTCTCAGACTGCAACACTATGATCAAGGGTGAGGTATTCAGTCCTTTCCTGGCCTGTGCTCTGGTCTATGAGTGACCATAAGCACTCTTTTCTGTCTTGAAACTCTGAGGAGGGTTTCCTCTCCACCGCCAGTACAACCTCCAACATGCCAGCACTCCTCCTCGCCCCAGGACCGCCAGCCAGAACTGTGACCCAGATCCAAGCATGGGCAAAGCAAGAGAATCCTGCACCAGCAGAGAGATCCCTGCAATCCCCCTCTGATCAGCAACTCGATTCCCCCTCAGTCTGTGAGCTGGAAGCTCAGGAGACACCCTCTGCCCTGGGGCTGAGCTCGGGGACTGGAGCTTCTCTCTCACCTCAGACACAGACTTTTCCCACTGACCTTCCAAGTTGTCTTTGGTGTTCATGGGTTGAGATTCTGGAAACCGCCACAGCTGCCCCTGATTCAGTCCTCTGAGGCCTGCTTCAGGTTTGCTGTGGCCTGCATGCCCACGCCAAACTGCGCTCCTCTCCCCACCCAGCGCGATATACCTTTCCAGTCAACCATCCAGGTTGTCTTGGGCTGGAAATTTCTTTCACTTTGTCTTTTTGTGGGTTCTGCTGCTTTAGAATTTGTTTGGAGCCATTTTTTATAGGTATTTGGAGGGGTTTGGGGGAGAGCTCAAGGAAGTCACTGCTTTTACTCTGCCATCTTGACTCTGCCCCGCCCCCCCCAATTTTTTTTTTACTTTCGCCTTAGTTTTTAAGCAGGCCAGGAGGATACTCGAGTTAGAGAGAGGATGAACATGCTCCGCCCCAGAGCAGGCCTGAGCTCAGCACTGAGCCTGGGAATCAAGGACCCCCAGGCCAATGCCCAGTCCCCAGGGGCACGCTGCCACCTAAAACAGACACATTTCAAGAAGCATTCCGAAGGCTAGGAAACAGTTAATGAGAATAATTAGATAGAGAGGGCTGGATTTGCATTGAAGAAAACTTGGGTCCCTCAGCAGGGCTGACTCAATCTGCCCTTGTGCTGGGGAGATTCTAATGGAAATGCCCCCGTACTAATCAAAGCGCAGACTAGACCCTACCCCCAGGTCCCAAACACCTGCACCGTATTGTGGTAGGTACTGGGCACAGAATGAAGCTATGATTTCACTCAGATAAGAAGTTCCTTGGGAATGAAACGCCCTCCACCAATGTAGGTTGACTCCTTCTCTGCAATTTAGAGGCTTATTCACTCGTTTTCCAGTCATGTCCAAATCTTCGTGACCTCATTTAGGGTTGTCGGCAGAAATACTGGCGTAGTTTGCCATTTCCTTCTCCAGCTCATTTTACAGATAAGGAAACTGAAGCAAACAAGGATAAATGACTTGTCCAGGGTCACACAACTAGTAAGTGTCCGAGGCGGGTTTTGAACTCAGAAAGATAAGTCTTCCTTACTCCTGGCCAGACTCTCTATCCACTGCTCCACCTAGCTGCCCGAAACTTAGGGTCTTAGAAAGTTGCTTAGATCCCTGGGAAGTGGAGTGTCTTGCCTAGGGTCACATAGCCCATTCTGTATCAGCAATGGAACTCGAATGTGTGTCTTGCTGGCTTCCAAGCCTCTTGGGTGGGTGGGTGAGCTGGGGGAGGGGTGAGAGGTTGAGTTACAAAGATGAAAAGTGATTTCAGGCCCTTCTCTGAGGGAGCTTATGAACTACTCAGAGATTAACACATAATGTACACATACAAATTAAATGAAAGGCAGAATCTGATAAAGGCAAAGGAAACATCTAGACTAAGCACCTTTATTTATTTATTTTTCTTTGTTGGCTTCTGTGAAATTCCTGCTCAGTGTAGCCCAGTGAAATCAGTGGAGGGTGAGTTCAGGGGTCTGCCGCTCAATCTCCACAGACCTGCCAAAGGGATATTCCTAAAGCACAGTTCAGGCTCCCTTTGGCCTTTAGGATGAAATGCAAACTCCTGTTCGCAACTGCAAGTCCAAAATTGGACTTGAGCTTACCTTTCCAATTCTTGTACCATTTCCATTCTTGTACTCTTCAATCTAGCCAAATTGGCCTACTGGGATATTGCTCAACT